TGTAATAAAAATACATCACCCCTTCATAGTTTGAAACAGTGTTAATCCTCTTTAAAATGTTAGATTCTAAAAGCACTGGGAAATTGTCCCATTGTCTATGTGTATTTTTCTTTTTTTAAAAAAACACACACAAAAAACTGATTGTATGCTGATGGATTTCCATTTATTGCTCTTTACTGAAATGTAATTTTGCCCCATGCAGTGTAGGAACAATATCTCATCTGGCCAATTCTCCTATATCCTGCTCTCAAAATAAGGCAAATCAAAGGAGGTGGGTTGTATCCAACATTGGTCATACTCCAAGTAGCCCTATAGAAATTAATGGGCTATGACTAACTTAGGTCTTTTCATTTCAGTGGGCTTACTCAGAGTAGAAATTAGCTAAATACAGTCCAGTAATAGCACCACCAATGGGTGATTGCAGGCAGTCCTTTGTCACAGGATGTGTCAAAGCCACTTTAAATCAAAGACCCATGTACATTCAACTTTTATCCTTGGTTACTGATTTAGCAGAGAGAGAGAAATGTATGAAATCACATTGTTGGTGGATGGGATTTATTGGCTTAACATCTGAGGAGATTCAGGAATGTAACTAATTGCTTCTGAAGTCAATTGTAATTTATTTTAAGTAAATTGTCTCCAGATTTGCCTTTCCTTGGTAGACAAGTCCTCTTTTTTAGGTGTTTTGCCAATAATGTGATCTCCCTGATAAACAGGCTGTCATGGAGTCACTGCATGCCAATCAACTGAATTTTTGCACATGCAAGTTCACTGCTTCAGAATTTCATCCGCAGAATGTGCTTAGAGAAGTTTTGCTGTCTGCAGACAATCCCTAGAGTGTAGACCCATCTGCTTATAATTGGTCTATAGCCCCAGGCTAACCAAATATCTAGTATCACCAATGGACTGTGTCAGCAGCCCTTCCAGGCTACAGTGCATGACGCATTTTCTTCAGTGCATTCTCTTAATTATCTCATGTGCCCATGTAGGGTAAGAGGCATGGGAAGAAGCATCATAGCAGTGCACGATGCCAGGGGGGAAATGTTTCCAGCTATGTAGAACTGAACCAGTGGGAAGCAATATCTCATCTGCTGTATGTTATTAAAAACAATTCCTAATGCAAAACATTTAATACAGTTCATCCATATGGCTTGGTTTTCCTACCAAATCTCTGCACAGAGAATTTCATTTTTCACCTGGTGGGTTCATTTTATAAATCATAATCCCTCCCTTCTAAACCATAATCCCTCCCTGAAAAGTCATCTGATCATAATTATGGTTTTTCCATATGTGCCTCCCCCCCCACCCCTGTTTATCACACACAAAGCCCAGAAATGGTGCTGCAATGTATAAGATGTATTTATCAGAGACATAAAAAACTGAACCTGTCTTCTGTGGGATAACCAGCCTAATATAAACAACATGCTTAAGTCTAATTAATGCATGATGGGGTTAAGACCACAGAGTAATCTGTTCTGCCAGGCTTAGCTCACCTTGGGAGGGACTAGGTAATCAAGCCTTCAGTCTACCCAAGAAGCTCAGACCATGACTCTTACAAGTCACTCTTGAGTTCCTACACCAATAATGCAGGAACTTTCACAACTGTAACTAAGCCAGGTTTTGCTGGTTGTGCAAATTTTTCTGCATGCTGTATGGAAAACCCATGAATCCAACCTTTGGAAAGTTTGTAAGTAAACCATTTTTAACTTACCAAGTGTGTGGTCTTTTTCTATGCTAGGGGAAGAGAAGAGTTTTGGAACTCACAAGGACATATTTTAAAGGTCCAACAGCCTATATTTCTACACTTTGATGCATATTTTGTGACTTTGAATATCTGTCACCAAAGGGTACTTGCCCCAAACCTGGACCTTGGCCTCCAGGGAATTCTTCCATCATCATCATCATCATTATTATTATTATTATTATTATTATTATTATTATTATTATTATATTTTCCTTTAACTGGCATCTGAGGCATGTTTTTCTGAGTATACCACTGGGGTAAGGGCATGACGTGAAGGCACATGATGCAGCCATCTTGCTAAAGCTCAGCAGTGTCTGGATTACTTGTGTTCTATGATGGCAGAAAGATCGAGCAGAAATATATTAATTAAGTAAATAAAAATCCAGCAATTTATAGCCCTTTGCCAACAAAGCAGGTAAAAACAGAAACCCATTGGGCATTCTCTACCTCTCAAAGTTTGTGATAAATTGCAACACTATTGGGGGTGGGGTCCGTCTCCTCTTTTTTCCTTCTAGAAAAACTGCAAACCGCTCTGAAGCTCTTTTAAGAGTAAATGGAAGAGAGCAAGTGAGAAATTGATAATGGGAGGCTTTAGATAGTTCTTTGTGATGCTAGTGCTAGAGGCGCCAATCAGTACCTCTGCCTTCTGAGGACACATTTGTTTAGGTGAACATGCTCCTGAATTTGAACTTCTGATCTTACTGTTTTTGCTGTTTTTAAAGAGGTCTAATTGTTTTTAACTCACTTGTTTTATTTTGGATTTTAAGGAAGGTTGTTATGATGGTCTGATGGAATTGTCATTGTGTATTGTGTGATTGTTTTATAATTGATTTTATAGTTGTTACCTGCCTAGAAACCCTTTGGGGATATAAGGAGAGTATGAATTAAATAATAATAATAATGGTGTGCAGTTTTTCATTCTGCTGATAAAGGGCAGTTTAAATTGTGTGACATTTGACATTCTCAACTGTCTTTTTGTTTGGTGATGGGCAGATGTAATTTGAAACTTCATCCTTATTCAAAATTGTATGTCCTTTATATTTTGTGTACTTTAATATAATATATTCATGTTCTTGAGACTTTGGAGGGTTTTAGTCCCCCAATCTCAAGGGCAACATTTCCAGGAAACAGGACTGACAAACTCAATGCTTTCTTAAGTCATCTGGGTGGTCTTGAGACTGTGAATGCTGTCAGCTGAACTCAGCTGCAGAATCTATCAAACTCAGTGGGAGAACCAAGCAGTGTTGGATGAGTTTTATCTATGTTCTGGATAAGGAATTGTATATATTTTCTTTTCTTTGGCTTTTGGTCTGATCTTATACACTTGGAAACTTTTTTAGGCTATAAAGTATAACGTGGACACTTTAAGTGGAAACATAAATATCTTTAGGTAGCCTACCACATTGTCTCAGTAATTTATAAACTGAGAGTGGAGAGAAACTATAGACATGAAATATTCTGATGGCCTGTAGGTATATGGTGTGTAATACTAGATACATAAGGATGCATTCCTCTTAAAATCGCTATTTCTCCCCTCTCCATTCATTCTGAAATGACATGGTTCTAAGAAATAGTCCAAATAGTTGTTTGACCTTACAGCTGCCACACAGACCATGCCATGCTTGGCAATAGAGGGGTGGTAAAAAAAATTTTTTTTTACAATGGACACTTTTTAAAAATCTGATTGTGTTTGAAACTTGACTCAGGAGGACAAATCACATTCTAATGGGTGATGAGAAGAGAAGGGCAGTTACAAGTCTGATTCCACATAATAGATTGTCTTACCAAATTAGGTTTGTTTAGACAAAAGGTAAATTAACTTTGGCTATATAAATTAACAAAGGAACTTTAAAGGAACACTCCAGCATGACATAGCTGAATTGCCACTTATCAAGCAGTTCAGTCCTATTCTTTTCAGCTCTGGATAGGGGCAATGGCTTTTTGCTCTTCTGCAGGCATGAATTTACTAAGCATTCATATGATATCACCAATTGCACTCTCACCAATTCCTGATGGTGTGAAGGGCCACTGTGCTTATTATGCACCTGAATGGACAGACTAGCCCTTCTCAGAGTAGACCTGTTGAAGTGAATAGGCATAGCTAACTTAAGTGCATTCATTAAGTGCATTCATTCTGAATTATTATTATTATTTGTTGTTGTTGTTACCTGCCTTTCAACCCAAGATCCTAGCATTAAAAAAAACCCTGAATGCAACTCTGTACTTTTTGCATTTCATTGGGAGGAATTTAGTGTTTTCTGAGCACAAGCATTTCTGCTTGCCAGACAGAATGACCCCCTTCTCCCCCTGTATGTTGTTCTGGGGGTTCCCTGATACTTGAGCATGGATTTAGTGGTGGTGATATCAAATGAATGCTTAGTAAGTTAATGCCTGCAGAAGAACAGAAAGCTATTGCCCCTATCCAGAGCTGAAAAGAATATGACTTCATTAGTGGGTGACCCTTGTGTGCTGGCTTCCGCTAGTGCACCAGGTTAATCGGATCCAGGCCATTGTAATTTAAATCCAGCTTTTCTAAATGCTGTTCTCTTTACACCCATGTTTACAACTGCCAGCTGAAGACTGTACTTTATACACGACATGGAATCTAATCCACAGAAGCTCAACAAAACTCAACAAGAAGTTTTTGCTTCTGCTGTAATTAATGTGCTAGCCTTTAAGGTGCCACAAGAGCCTTTGTAAGCAGGGTCGGATTTAGGTTTGATGAGGCCCTGGGCTACTGAAGGTAATGGGGCCCTTTATATGTCCAACTGCCCTTTGCCAACAACAAATTGTCGCTGTTTTTTGTATTGAATATATGCTATATGGTAATTTATAGACCTAATAGGTATCTAAAGCCATTTGCACATAACAAAATATGTATTTCATCAAAGTAATTGTTGAACTGTTGAACTGAAATACACTGAAAAACAATGTTGCTGTATGTAGGTTTTATTTTATTTGTTTTTTATCTTATATTTTGGAAATGTACATCCAGTGGGGTTTTTTCTTTACATTTTTTGGGGGCCCCCAAAAGAGTGGGCCCCTAAGCTATAGCTTGTTTAGCTTATACATAAATCCAGCACTGTTTATAAGTTAAGTCAGTGATGACTGTCATGTTAGATGTAGTGAAGTATTTGCACTGAATTAGAATAATGCATTATTAATGGTTCTATCAATCTGGGACTTACTTTGCCTCTTGAACTTGGGCTTGTTTTGTTAATGTGTTTATAAATTTAGCCTTCCTTTTTTACTTCAGGTGTGGAAACAAGTGAATCACCTGAGACATGAATTTTGACTCTGTCTGTAACAAGCAGCTCCTTAGAAACCAACTAAAGGAGCCCCATGATGTTGAAGCACAGAACTGTGCAAAAGCATGTAGCACCTGCAACTCCAGTGTCCTATCGCCAAGAATACTTCCACCCCCATCCTACCGCCCCTCTGTGTATATTTATAACAGCAGCGACTGGGAAATTTGTGAGGAGTTACGGCTTCGAGAGCTTGAAGAAGCCAAAGCTAGGGCAGCCCAAATGGAGAAGACCATGCGTTGGTGGTCAGACTGCACGGCCAACTGGCGTGAGAAATGGAGCAAAGTCAGAGCTGAAAGAAATAACGCCCGTGAAGAAGGGAGGCAACTGAAGCTTAAGCTGGAAGCCTCAATGAAAGAGCTGAGTGCCCTGAAGAAAATAAACCAATGTTTGCTCACAGAAAATGAAGATGTGGAAGCTAGGAGCGTGAGGAAAAAGAGCTTTGCCTTTTCTGAAATTTGTTTGATGACAGAGGACCATTTAGCATCTCTGGAGAAAGAGCCTGTTAAACATGTCCAGAACAACAAGATTTTTGAGGTAGAAAGTCTCTGTCAGGTAAATAGATATGGGTCTTTTTTAAATCACAAAAATGAACCAATTCCCACCATAGTTCTAAACATTCTGAGGCTGCAATCTTTTACCCACTTTTTCATTTCAGGAAGTTTATGCGACTGAAAACCCTTTAGGAGACCACCAAGATAAAATAATCAATTTGGAGATTCTTGATTCCAGAGGCAAACACAGATCAGTTTTTCTGGAAAATCCTGACACAAGCAAAGAGAATGAAAGCAGATCTCAGGACGATGAAGTAGTACATCTTTCTGTGTTGCATTTGCATCTTCATGAATCAAGGAAAATCTTGCAGAAGGAGCAAAAGTAAGTTAATAACACATTTCCTTCTGTTAAAAAAATCCCCACATTTTTCTCCAAGAAAAACTTTTAACAGGCCAATTTTGGAATAGAATTACAGTGTATTTTGCAGGTAGTGAAAAGTCTAGTTCCAATGCCAAATTCATTGGGGACTAGTTCTTATTTCCCCCATTTATCTTTCTTATTAACTTTGCGAGATGGTGCCTGTCAACAACCTGAAAAAAGAGTAACATGCCTTTATGAAATGTTCTTACAAATCCTACTGTCTGCTCCACTGTGCAGTGTTTTAAGAACTTACTATTGACAGAGCAGTGGTGTTGAGTGTGATTTATTTTATGTTGGCAGCTCTTGCTAATGATGGCAAATATTTATTCAGTTATTCAGTACCAAAAGTGTGCAAGGATGAGAGACACAAACAAGAGGACATTCTTACCCAGAGAGAATATCATATTAAGAACCAGTTCAAGAGTGTAGCAACAGTGTCCCTGCATAAAGTTGTTCACCAGCTTGGTCCTGCACACAACCATATGAAATTAAATTAGCAATATGGCATGTTATCCTGTCCTGTGATGATTTCCAGCTTCACCCCTATCTTGCTAGTTAGTGGAGGGCTGACAGTGGCAGAGCGATGAACCCAAGTCTCAGATTTGTCTGTTCACTGAAATACACCTATGGAATCTATGTAACTGAAACTATCATGGAACTAAAGCTACCATTCTACATTAAAAACATCCAACAGGCAGCCGATACCATTCAGAAAGAATGACAGCATTGGAGGGGACCTTGATGGTCATCTCATCCAGTGCCCTGATATGGATACAAGTTTTTAAAGCATCCTTCCTTCTCGATTCTAAAACATGCAGGGAGCTTGCATGGATAAAAATGGCTTCCCACTTCAGAAGTTATCTCTCAACACTAAAGAGGCTACAAGGAACTGTGCAACCCTGCAGTTCCTTTGTATCCATGTTGCCCCTTCACATGAGTAATGTGTAAATAAGTACAGTCATACATTGGAAGTCGAATGGAATCCGTTCTGGAAGCCTGTTCGACTTCCAAAACATTCGGCAACCAAAGCATGGCTTCTGATTGGCTGCAAGAAGCTCCTGCAGCCAACCGGAAGCCCCGTCGGGCGTTCGGGTTCCAAAAATAGTTCGCAAACCAGAACAGTCACTTCCGGGTTTGCGGCATTGGGGAGCCAAAACGTTTGAGAACTAAGCTGTTTGAAAACCAAGGTACGACCGTATTCAGTATCCCATGGGGAAATCTGATCTTTAGTGTTGCATCAGAACAAATGGTGATTGGGTTTGTTCTGATCTCTATCACAAACGAGCAGGTATTCCAGGGGAAAGTGGCATGGCAAAGGCAAAACCACATGGACCCATGCCCAGAAGGCACGGGACAAGTGGGAAACTGCTTGGAAGGCACAGGGGTGCCAACTATAGGGGGCTCTGGGTGCCAGAGCACCCTATCATTGTTGTGGGTGCACCCACACTGCAGGGCCCCCATGCAACTTCTGAGGTCTCGCAAGACCTTGGAAAGCATCCTGTGGCCCAAGTTGGCTCCCCTGGGACAAGTGGAAGTGTGGAGAAGCCCTTTGTCTTCTTCTAGTGTGTTTCAACAACAGCAGCCACTAGGATTAAAACTGCACGTGCTTTAGCTCACCTGGATGCAGGATTGAGCTGCCCATTGCTTTTAAAAATGCCATTCTCCCTACCACAAGAACTGCAACAAAACCCTTCCGCATCTTGAAGAATATAGTCCTGGAACCCATGCAATATTTTAAAGTATTGTTTGTTATCATTCTTGTAACACTGCAGAATCCGCTTATCTCTGGAGAAAGAGATAGAGAAGCTGAAGTCAGAAAAAATTCTGTGGAAATGGAAATATGAGGAGCTAAGAAAGTCCAAACAGCAGAGTCTAAAGCAGGTATGTTGCAAAAGGCAGTTACCATGGGTAACTGAAAAATAAATGAAATTTCTTCTCTTTTGTTGTCTTGCTCTCCCATACGTACAAACTTAAGATGCAGATTCTGAGTTATGCCGAAGTAGAAATGAATACATCTTCCATGTTTTATTACATTTCTATGACTAGGCCCTACCCTGCTTCCAATCCACCTTCTGTCTGATTTAACATGGAAAATTCAATAATTATTCCCAGGGTGTGGTTTGAAAAAACACATGTCCACCACCCTTCTGAAGCTGTGTCTGGGTCAAAGTTAGAAGGTCAGAGTTACTGCCTCAGATCCGCATGTACACTGCATTGGGATCCCTTACAGAAGACAGCTGGGAGATAAATGTAATAAACCAAGATATGATCATCTGAACACAGCTTTTTACATATATTGCTCTACTACTACAACAACAACAACAATCCCATGGGGTTCTACTATAAGGTAAACTGGATTACACTTCCATACATGATACCTAATGCACCTGCTGAAGGTCAGTTTTAGCAAATTGTGTATTGATTGTGTGCTATAGAAAATGAAATGATAATGAAAATCTAGTGGCAACAAACTTTTTAATGCTCTAAAACAGAACCTATGAAATAATTAGCAGGATCTTGCTATAGAAATATAGCCTCTCCTGCGAACTTGCTCAGGTTTCAAACCTTCATATATACTATCATTTATTTAAGACAGTTATATGCTGATTGATCGTTCACATTTCTAAGCTGTAGACATCAAAACAAACCATACAAAAGGAAACAATAAAGCAATAAACATAAAACTGAACACTACCTTGAAATAACCTGCTGGAACAAGAAAGCCCTTAATCATGAGCATGAAGGGGAATGCCTGTCTAATCTCAGTTGGGAGACAGTTTTGGGCCCACTGCACTTAATGCACAGCTTCTAGTAGTCATAAAAACATAATATTCAATGTTCAGTCTCATTATAATATTATTATCCTTGATTAGAATTCAGGTCTGAGTTGACGTGCCTTCTGAAATAGGGTGGAGAGGGCAGTACATATATAAAATAGTAATAATGTGAGCATCCATCGAAAGCTGCAAACTTATACACACTAACCTGCAAATAAGATGCTGTTCCCAGATATTATAATATATGTCTGTCCTCTGCTAGTCCTATGAAAGTGATGATTAAGAACAGTGTTCATTTTAGTCCAAGAAACTTGCAGCTTCCTTCACTGACCACTGGTGAGCAGTATAGACTTGCAAATGCTTTCTTGCCAATAGCATGAGTTCTCCCCCTCCCAGGAAAATGTATTTGCTCATTATAAAATTGCTTTATGTTAGGTTTTTCTTTTCTTTTTTGAAAGGCTGTATTTGTGATTTGAATATATAGCTATTTGTATTAGCACTTACATGTAATTGCATTGCTGGATGATATAGTATGTTCTCCATAATAATTTTTCTCTTAATCTTATAGAAAACATAGCTAGGTTACATAGGTAAATTAAGGCAAATTATCAGACTGAACAGAAAGAGTGTATCTGGATTTTGTTTAATCAATGTGAAGGATGGATGGAAATTATTCTGAAATGCGACATGTGTGTTCAGTAGGTCTTTCAGCTGCAGGATAAATTGCTTGTAAAATGTATGGTGCAACTATAAATCACCATAATGCTTCCTTAGGGTGATTTCAGATGCTTCATTTTATCCAAAAGAATATTGCATCTTCAAGATCCACATCAATATGGCTTGTTAAAGGTTAAATCGGTTTTTAAATTATGTTTGAAGCAACCTGGGTATTTCTCCATCGTAGTACATGACGAGAGAATCAAATTATTGGGTGATTCCAATGTAAAGAAAAATGTTAAGAGATTTTGGAGATGCTTCCAACACAATAAAAAAATGGTCCAGTTTATAAAAAAAATTGCATCTAAGTATAATTTGAGCATGGAAACACTGCCAGTAGATTAATGGAAGATTTTATTCCACATAAACAGCTGTCTACAGGTTATGCGAACCCGGAAGTACCAGAACGGGTTACTTCTGGGTTTCAGCGCTCATGCATGTGCAGAAGCGCTAAATTGCGCTTTGCACATGCGCAGAAGCACTGATTCGTGACCTGTGTGTGCGCAGACATGGCGCTATGGGTTGCGAATGTGCCTCTCGCATGGATCACGTTCACAACCCGAGGTTCCACTGTATTTCTTTTCTGTCCTGTTCTCAGAGATTATGGTTTTTGTAGATTTATTTATTTTCAAGTTTATATGTCTACCTAGATCAGAAGTTTCCAATGTGCTGTGTTCAAACTGTTATTGGGGTTCAACTCACATCAACTTCAGCTAGCATGGCCATCAGGAGGGCACTACATTGGTTACGCTGACCTAGATTAATAGACTCCTTAGTGCCTGAGATAACTGCTTGAACAGTTAAAGTACCGGGGGCAGGCGGCTTAATCTTACACTGATGACACCCCAAAAGCAGCAGGAAGACCATAGCAGCTTCTTGCGTGTCTGGAGTCCCACCTTCCTTCCTGCTTAGGGATGCCGGATGCAAAATGGTTGCCAGGGGCAGGTTCTTGCATCTTTGGTAGTTGTGTAAAAGAGATGATTGTAGTGTTTGTAGTTTAAATGGACAGGACAGAAGCCCTATCCTTTCTTGCATTATGTCCACCCACTGTAGCCCTTTATGCTCCGCTTACCTAGAAAGCTGAGTGCCCCTCTGCAGAAACTGGCAAGGCAACAGGTAGAGATGCAGTAAGAAGGTTAACATGGAACTTTGGATTGTGGCCCTTCAGTCTTATCACAAAAGCAGGAGTGGGGAACTGGTGACCCTCCAGACAGTAGTGGAGGGTGGGGTGAGTTGCAGACACTTCCCTGACCTCCTGGCCGATGAGCCACTGCTGGTCACTAGCAGGGGAGGGGCGAGGTGGGGGCAAGGTCACTACAGTGCAAATGCACCAGTCAATTAAATCCAGCACTTTTGCTGGTCCATTATCACTGTGCCACCATTCCCAGTGTTTCACCCCACCATCTTTAGTAACTCACCTGCCAGGAGGTCAGGTAAGCATCTCTACCCTACCATGCCCTATACTTCTGCCTTTGGGTGTTGCTGGACTACAACTTTCATAATCCCTGACCCTTGACCATGGTAACTGGGGCTGATGGTAGGAGTTTGGAGTCTATCAACATTTGGAAGGCCACAGTTTCCCAATGCTTGCGTTAAATATTATTTTACTACCATGAGCAGCAGTAGGCTTCAGTGTGAATTATAGAACTTTTTAGAAAGCCATCAAATCGGGCTTGCTAACTCCTGAAGCTGAGAAACCAAGGAATGAAACTGAATCAATAGGGGGTGCAAAAGGTCCACCATCTTGAAGCCTCGGCTGTTTCGTAATGTGATAATTTAAAAGCAGTTTTCTCCTCCACTTGGCAAATAGAATGTAAACATACAAACCTACAATCATGCATTGAAATTCTGTGTACAGTGTTCAGATAAGTACCCACACCTGCTGCAAATGTAAACATACATCCACACCTGCTTAATTAAGTATGTAGAAAGAAGAGAAGTTAGATTTGTTCTTCCATACAGCTCCTGAAACTATGTATTTCTTTTATTTAGAAAAAATCAAACAAGTTAGAATGTAAACAGAACTGTATCAACTTTGAAACAAAAGAAGGGCATGGAAGAGACACATTCAAGCATCTTTTCTCTGTGTCTTATTTAAAGCACAACTTGATTTAGTTCAGCCTTTATGTTTTATGGAGCTGTATGCTGGCGATTGTATGGAAAACCTATATGCTTCCTCCTCTGCAAAATTAAAAGAGGAGAGAGGAAACCTCTTTCCAGCTTGGTAGATATAGATGGGACCGTGAGATATGTGGGTAATACATGATCTGTGCTTAAGGTTATCCTCAGAGTTGACCCATTAAAATTAATAGCCCTAAATTAGTCATATCCATTAACTTAATGTCTATTTTGAGTAGACCTATCATTAGATAACAACCCATTTTTTAAAAATAATAATAATCATGTAATTTAGATTGTTTAATAATAGTAACAGCAACAGAAATGTAAAAGGGTTAAACTCTATCTTCTTCATAAAGATAAATTCATTCACATTTGACATTTGATGTTTTTCCCCCTGAAGGATGTTTGCTGAAAATGTTTTCCCAATACACCATGCCTCTTTACAGTGGCTTTTTTTGTCACAAAAAAAGGGCAGAAAATGAATGTGTTTGCCTGGCTTGCCAGCCAATCATTAGTGCGGCCAAATGCAAAAGTGGGCAAGGTTCCTGTTCCTTTAAGAACTGTGCAAAACAATGGGGTGGAATTGACACCAATTTCCATCAAAGTGTCCTCTTCAAATCAGGTAGCCTTCAGATGTTTTGGACTATGACTCTCATCCTTCTTAATCCTTGGTCACACTGGCTGGGGCTTATGGGAGTTGTCCATAAGGCTGAGCAGGAACACAAGGTATTATCTGGCAGAGGTGTTTACCTGTCCTCCCAGCAGGTGAGTTACTGCTGCTTACTGGGAGGGGGTGAGGTGGTGCCATGCTAGCTTCCAGGCTGGTGGATCACTGATGCTTACAGGGGAGGAGGAGAGGAAGAGGGGTGATGTGGCAGGGAGGTCTGTGTTGTGAAAATGCACCAGCAGAACCAATATGCCACTCCTGCTGATGTGTTTGCACTGTGGTGACCCAACCACCTTGTCACCTCTTTCCCTCTCATAAGCATCACCAACCCATCTTCCAGCACCCCAGTGTAGCAGGTCCACCCCAATGGGCAATCCGCATGTTCCCAAGACTCTGGTTGAGGGGTTGTTGCAAAAAACAACAATTGTTTCAATAAGACAAGGGCAATTTCTCCAGGGAATCTCAAACACCTCCATAATCTTTCCTGTGTTTTTTATGTATCTGCAGCTCAGAAACACCCTAGTTTTTCCTCCACCTGCTTGTTCTTTGTTAGAATTCTTGCTCAGCTGCAAGTTAGATTTCTGCTGACTTCAAGATTGTCACCCTTTTTTCCACATGGACGTTTGTTGCCCAGAATAAGTGTGTGTGTAGGGGGGGGGAGGAAAGTACTTTCACCAGCTGTTGGATAGGAGGAAAGATTTGCAAGAGTCAGACCAATCTCCCTAATGACTGTCAATGCTCCATATGTTAGGAAGAAGATTGTAGTGAAGTGTTGCTTCCTTTAAATAATAAACAAGCAAACTCAACTTCAAATCATGAAGACCAAGCATACCCCGCTGTCACATTCACATCCTTTGCAGCAAAGGGGCAACGAACAGCAGTAATACAATGCGGTTTCAAGTACCATTAAAACGTTGCGTTTGATGGAAGCACGGTACCATCCTTTGAAATGTAAACCAAATATCTGTGGTGAAACCTTGAAACACATGTGGGAATTAGCAAAGACTCTTTCTGCTTCCTGCAAAGTTAGGATGTCATTGAGGCAAATTAAGAGATGAAAGCTCGTGTTTTTACGTCAGATCTTCTGGTTCAGAATGCCCCAAAGCAGCTGCCCTTTGGAGACTTCAAATTAAATTAGAAGAAATAATTGCTATAATCCCTTTGCCTAAAACAATTTTTTCCATTTACATAGGGTTTTGAACACAGTTTGTATAATCTATTACCACTGCCACCCCTGCTGGTTTCTTCTGTCATAATCCAATCAACTACTAGAAAAGCATGCTAATGAGTCTTTAAAAATCCCATTTGGAATGAACATCAGGGGCTCCAGCTTTCCCTGCCTAGTTGTGGAATCTAAATCTGCAAAGTTCTCAAAAGCAATCTAGATGAAGCAAGGCGATACACTGGATTGTGGTTTTTGCTTTCCTGTGATGGAAATTCTTTTCTTCACTATGTGGGAAAACTTTATTATAGTAGAATGGAATGAGAAATCCCTGATAACATATATAACATGACCCCCACTAAATCAGTTCCGGGTATGTTCACAGTATCTTTCCATCACATAGAAGTAACACCCTATTGGCCTGATCCTGAATTTGCTTCAATTGGAAGTTCAATGAGGCTTAGTCAGTGCACACAAGATTACAGACTAAGGGTGTGTATACATTGTCGCTACATCGTTATTTCCTCAGATTGGATCAAAGCTATTTTGGCAGTAGACACATCAAAAATAAGAAATGTTCACGGCAAATGACAGGATAGATATGGATTGTTATTGCAAGCATCAAGTATACAATGCTTCCTAAACCAGCAAAGTGACCATTAACGTTAAAAATCTGGCAATGGAAAATTTCTCTGGTGCCTTCCTTCCTTTGATGCTCTAAGCATGTGCTTATTTTGCTTAATGGTTAATCTAACCCAGGTATTTATGCAGTCCAAAAAAGAGAGAGTGAAAAGTGAAAATATTCACCCACTTTAACTCTCCAATTGGCTCTCCAATTATGGAATCTGATTCCATGTGAGCTCAGGCAAGCCCCTCCCTTGTTAAATTTAAAAGAGTCTTAAAGATTCTACTTTTCACCATGGCCTTTGGAGCTCAGTCTAAGGTACTGGATGCTGTTCTTTGGAGCTGGGTGGGTTACTTTGGTGGTATGCTGGCGTGTATCTTCCTGAGGTAGAATTGGATATTTTAATGGTTTTAACTAGTTTTACTGTTAGATTTTATGGATTTCTATTTGCACATGGCCTCGAGCCACTTTGAGAAGCAAATCTTGTTTACAAAGCAAGCTAAAAGCTTTTAAATATATATATATATATTTAAAAATACACTGATTTTACAAGTTTTTACAACGAAGAATCCAGTACTGATAAGAGGATTTTGGAACTTCATTCTTTCATTGCTAAGTGCATTTCTGGACTAATACTTTATACTGGCCCATCTTAGACAGCTAGGCCCCAAACTGAAGCATTTGACATCTGTTCTTATGTTGTATTTTGCAATAAAATACAGTAGTTTCACTCCTGGCACTTTTCATTGGCTTTCCCAATCTGTTCTTTTCAAAGGGGGCCATCCACATTCATTAAAATCAATGTGGATTTTGCTATTGTGAGTCAATGAGGCAAAACAGAAGAATGGGCCCAGCAAATCATCATTCCTTCCATAAAATTGTGCTTGAAAAAATACTCATTATTTTCTCTTTGTCTCTGTTGTAGTGTTGGTTTATGCTTAACTGTGACATTAGAATGGGCGATTCCTTGTGACAGTTTCAGCCTATAATTGCCTATAACAATTGGAGTTTTCTGTTTGCCTATGCTAAGCTTTGCAGTGGTGGTATGAATTTAAGTGTTCTACACTTGTGAGAGCCCCTTGTGTGTTTTAAAACCCTGGAAAACCAAGGTTTTAAACCTCCTCATGTTCATAGTGTCTTCCACCTTCAGAAATTCAGGCTCCAGGTTGTGGAGGGTGACGACAGATGCAATGCAGGGAAGGAGCTAGAGCCTTCAACTAAGCTGTTGTGCTACAGAAGGCACCATAAGAACTCCCGCTAGCACAATGGGACTTCCCCCTTCTCTCACCTCCTCCCCACATAATTCCACAGGTCAGGTTGGGAGAGTGGGCACCACCCCCCAGAACAGAGCACAGGGTGAAGAGAGGGGAGATCATTCCACTAGGCAAACAGAAAGACATGTGCTGATGGAGCAATCTCCTTAGTGTGATGTTGCATTCCTTTCTGCTTCCCTAATCATCCCGTTCATGGGCTAAGATAAAGAGTCACAATCCAGTGAGTTTATTTAGCAGCATATTTTTATGTTTTAAGCCAGGGGTGAGTAACCTCAGGCACAGGAACAAAGTTGGTCCTCCAGGCCTCTCTCTTTCATCCTAGCGATTCTCTCCTGACCATATGCTCACCTACTGGCTACATCCTCCTTGAATGATTTTGCCTGGCTAGAATGTGGTCTTGAATTGTGACTGTGCCTCTTGCTTGTTTGTCACGGAGGAGTACAGAGAATGTGTGTGTGGGGGGGGTGCCTAAAACCTCTGGCTTTTATAGGGCTGGAATTTAATTACTGGGCAAAGGTGAGCATCACAGCCATTGCTCTGTTTACTTTTGCATCTGGACCTGTTTACCACTGAGATGTAGCAAACCTGTTTTTGCCTATAAGAGAATGTGCCCTTCAGGGCTAAAAAATTGTTTCCTTACCCCTGTATTAGGCCATCTAGAGACTATCGTTCAGATGATGCTTGCAGATGATATCCTAATTTTTCATGTGATGAGTGATGAGCCAACTTCTATTTTTCAGTTTGGGATACATAATGATGTACATCAGACTGAAGTAACAAGAATCACAGAAGGATTAGAAGAAGACCCTGGACCCAAATCTCAGAACTCTATGAAGATCTGGGACTTACAAGCAGAGGTATGTTTAGATATTTCTGAAGTGTGTGTTTACACAACGAAAGTTTATAGATCCTTTAGAATTATGTTAAATATGCTTTCCTAAATATATGCAGAACACATGGGACCCTGGATGTAAGTAGTATTTATATCAGGGGTGAAGGTTTCTATGGGAGTCTATTAGGAGTCTGAAAAAACATATTGGAAGAGCACATTCAGTACATCTTGGTTGGAAAACTGTTGGTTGAATAGTTTTTAAAAACTATTTTCATAAATTCAGTTATTTTTGTCTTTGGGAATCTGGAGAAAATGAAGAGTTAGAATAAATGTTTACCGTATTTTTCGCTCTATAAGACACACCAGACCACAAGACGCACCTAGTTTTTGGAGGAGGAAAACAAGAAAAAAAATATTCTGAATCTCAGAAGCCAGAACAGCAAGAGGGATCGCTGTGCAGTGAAAGCAGCAATCCCTCTTGCTGTTCTGGCTTCTGCGATAGCTGCGCAGCCTGCATTTGCTCCATAAGACGCACACACATTTCCCCTTACTTTTTAGGAGGGAAAAAGTGAGTCTTATACAGCAAAAAATACAGTATATTAAGGGAGGGAAAGGAGAACAACAAATTCTGTCTTTGAATAAAGGTAAAGGTAAAGGTACCCCTGCCCATACGGGCCAGTCGTATCCGACTCTAGGGTTGCGCGCTCATCTCACTTAAGAGGCCAGGAGCCAGCGCTGTCCGAAGACACTTCCGGGTCACGTGGCCAGTGTGACGAAGCTGCAGCTGGCGAGCCAGCACCAGTGCCGCACACGGAAACGCCGTTTACCTTCCCGCTATAAAGCGGTACCTATTTATCTACTTGCACTTAGGGGTGCTTTCAAACTGCTAGGTGGGCAGGAGCTGGGACCAAATGACGGGAGCTCACCCCGCCACGGGGATTCGAACCGCCGACCTTACGATCAGCAATCCCTAGGCACTGAGGTTTTACCCACAGCGCCACCCGCGTCTTTGAATAGTTTGCTACAAAAGGGGTTTTAAAAAGGTAGAGTGGAGAATGATTTATATATACATGACTGAAGGGCCATGTACAAGTTCTTTGGATGAATCAATTTGAGAGACCCATTTTCCCTCCTTAGTTTCTTTGTGTAAACTTTAAAATGACTATTTGAGAGTAGAGAAGTTCAGGTAGGATTCTTAGTTTTGTGAGATTAAGATTAGGTGTGAGTTCTTGAATACACTCATATAGAAAATGTCCCCCCCCCTACAAAATAGAGTTCTGCACAAGAATGTTATTGAAAAGTTTGTCATTTAGGACACCATGGTCTCCTAATCATTAAAGATACAGTTTCCACTATGGAATTTCTAAAAGACAAATTTACCATACTTTTCCATGTAAAACATTATGCTTTCTTACTTAAAAACTATTGTATGTTAAAAATTTGGGCTCATCTTATACATGGATAGGTGGCTTTTGCGATACATGCATTTTCTAGCACCCCCCTAAAAAAAGCTGGACAACTCCCCCCCCCAAAAAATGGTAATATCTTTTGCCACAATCCTTATCTCTCTCTAGCATATCTTCATAGAAAATTTAAAAGTGTTTCCTCTCCCTCACTTTTTCACTAATGTGAAAAAGCACCCAACCACAGCACACTGTGTATAAACCCCACACAGGGAGGCAGCAAGGCGTGATTTTCATCAGGACGACAGTATGGAGAAAAGGGAGGTTTAATATGTTTCCCTTGCCTCCAACTGATCCTGATGGAAAATTACACCCTCTGCACTGCTGCATGGAGAAAGAAGACAGAAAAAACTATCACTGTTGCCACAGAAAACAGTCTCTGAAGAAAGGTGTTTTTTTGCCAGTCCCCCCTGTAGATCACTTGTACTTTCTGAACAAGAATGGGAGACCATTTGAAGCAGCGTGGGAGTTGGTGTCTAGTTCAGTAGGCCCTTCTGTAAGCTGGAGCCTACAATGAAATAGTAGCATTCATTTACAGCAGGGACGTCCAGCTCCCAATAGACTACGATCTACTCACAGTATAAAAAAAAACAACTGGCAGTGATCTACCCATTGTCAGACCAAATTTGTCGAGCTTTATTTGGGAGGGGGAGATCGCTGAGGGGCCAGAGATCTACCAGGAGCACCCCGCGATCTGCCAGTAGATTGCGATCTACCTGTTGGACATGCCTGATTTACAGGATCGCAACTGGGCATCCCAGACAGTATATTTTCAACAGCAGCTGTTTTCAGACATTTTAACATGATGAAACCATTGTATTAGTTTACTGCCAAAAGCTTGCTTGCGTGTTTATGAACCTGGAAATGGGAAACTGGTAATAGGCTGGTGGGAAAGTCTTAAGGGAGGCAAAACATGAGATAAAATGAGTAGTGTGGATGATCTGATCTGCTTATCAAGGGCATAATGGTATTAAAATACTCTCTGGATGTCATTTGCTCTATGCAACCTGTCGTCAATGTATAGTCCGGATACCTCAGAAACTATTGTTTCAAACTGCAAACCATATATGACTGCTCTACTCTCATTTAAAACCTGTGCAATTGTAGCATAGCTCTTTTGAACACTAATAGTCTTGTATTGATTTTATTTTGTCCTTGTTGAGCTCTTTAAATTTAAAACAGCTGTTTTGCCAGTAGTTGTTCAGGATAGCCTGAGGCACCGCTCTGTTGTCTTTAACAAGGATTCATGACCCCCTGGTGTAGGAAGTCTTTAGGTCATTTTTGGGTTGCTTGTTTATGAAGAAAAAGAGGGTGAGCGTTAAAAATGGACTTTTCAGTAGAGATTATCAGAGTAAAATTTTCCCCAGAAACATAGTAAATTGATAATAACTAACCTCCTCTGCTGTGAATAGGCTTCGGTATGATGTAAAGTAGTAAAAAGAATACACACACACACACACACACACTAAGAGAATTGTTCCCACAAGTGGCTATGGTTCAAAGCATGCATGACAATTGCAGAGTCATTTGTTTAAAAACTGCCCTAATTATGTATAAAGCAAGAGACAGTTATAGAACAAATGGGTCACAGGGATGAGGAGAATGGAACCTTTCCTTTGGGGAATGGTCATAGCTCAGTGATAGAGCATTTGCTTTGTTTGCAAGAGGGTTCTAGGCAACTTCAGGCAGAGCTGAGAGGGTCCCCAGTCTAAAACTTTGACGAGCCATTGACAATCAAGGTAGGCATTACTGAGCTAGATGAACCAATAGTCACACTCACTAAGAGGCAGTTTCCCATGTTCCTCCCACCACCTTCTGTTCCTAGGTTGTGTTCACACAGCAATTTATTTCGGGCATCCCCAAACTCGGCCCTCGAGATGTTTTAGGACTACAATTCCCATCATCCCTGACCACTGGTCCTGTTAGCTAGGGATGATGGGAGTTGTAGTGCCAAAACATCTGGCGGGCCAAGTTTGGGGTGCCTGCCTTAACTCTTAATTTCCACATTATATTTGAGCTTTCACACAATGTAAATCTCACTTCTGGGAATCTAGAGGAAGTTGAGAACTCATTTCCGTGTTAATTGCTTCAAGGGGGAAAAATCATTTGCAAATCCATTAACCCAGAAAACCGTGGGGGTAAAGTGACAAAATTAGGGGGAGTAGACCACATACAGTTCTTTCCTGCCTATTTTATGGGAGAAAGCATACAGGGAAAAGAAGCACACACATATGGAAAGGGTGAGAGAGTAGCGACATCGCCCAATGACATTTGTTGTGTGTCACAGCACACTCACGGGTGTGACTGAAATTTAGCGTGATGTGCTAGTATATTGGTCAGAAAGCCATAGTTCCAGAAAGCAACCGCCACTGCAGTTTGAAATGAAAGCAAGATGAAGATGCTAATGCAATATTCCCCACTTCTGAATGAAATCTTAGTCTCTCCCCACTCCCCCAAGGCATTATTCCCCTCAGATATTAGGAGTGAGCTTGCCTTGGGGGTAAAGTACTTGGAAATATAAAAAGGTAAGCAAGCTACTGTGTATTAATCACAACAGTTCTGTTAAATTATTATTAGCAGGCATCGTTTTACAGTCTGAAGAACCATGCCTCAGCTACAGTAATAAGTAAAATGTCCTCTCTCCAATCAAAAAATGAAGAAAAGCCTTAATGTAATAGATAAGTACAGGCTTCCTTATCCTCGGCCCTCCAGATGTTTTAAGATTACAATTCTCATCATCCCTGACCACTGGTCTTGCTAGCTAGGGATCATGGGAGTCGTAGGCCAAAAACATCTGGAGGGCTAAGGTTGAAGAAGCCTGGATAAGTAGAACATGTCTTTGGAACATTTTGAAATGTTCCCAAACATATAGCCTTCAAAAGAGTTCTGTATCATATCAAAGCTTGCACACAAATACTAGGCCAATCTTTGTGTTTTCTGTGTGTTTTGTTCTGTGGGGACTACACAAAGATATAGTCCCCGCATTATTTTAGGTATTTACTTTATTGCAATGCAGTCTTCAAACTGAAGAAAAGCAATCCATTTAATAGAAAAAAATCCATTTAATAGAAAAAAATCTTTTTATTCAAGTAAATTTTTTGGATATGCGAACTGAAATTTCTCAGATGTCCAGGATAAATATACTTGCCTTTTTACCTCATATCTGTGTCAGGCAGTCCTACCTGCCTGTGATGGGATAATGAGCTGCTTGTGCGTAAAATGCAAGTCCCTCAGAGTTTGATCAAGTTCTCAAACCTCTGCCTGCGACGGAGCCCCTCCGGCATGGCTGCGTCAGTCGCTAGCAGAATCCGAAAGTGGTTGCTTTCGGAATCTCTTCCAACATAAAAGCTCCTTAACGGAAACACGTCTTCTGGACTCTCGCCGTGACAGTTTCCGGCGAGGAGTGGGTGTCCCTATAGGAGGTCTTGAGACCTCCCCACTGTTTTCGCTGGAAGTGTCTCTGAGCCATCCCTCAGAGCCACTTTCCCTTGGAGTCCCTTCTCTCCCCCTACTGGTTCCCTCTTCAGCTGCTACGTCTCTCTCAACCTCAGTGAGCCTTTCCACCTCCTGTCCTTCCGATGGCAGTTCCCTGACACTGCCTAATAGTTTGGCTGGAATTCACTCTTGGGTGCTTTTGTAATTTCTTACCTGAATCCAGTGAAGAATAAACATTACATTGATTAGTCAGCATTGCAGAAAGATGAATTGCTTAGGATGGCAATTGAGGACCGAACTAAGCATTCTACAGCAGATGTTGGTAACATTTGTCTGCAAGTTCTGTTTGCTTTTTATGAAAAGCAGTCTTCCAGCTTCAATCATTTTTTTTATATATATAAAATTTTTATTAGGGTTTTCAAAAGGATTTTTGACAAACACAAAAACATACAGACACAACACACAACACACACATAACAAATATAATTTTAAAGCCTTATTTTCTTAACCACTTTCCCGGACTTCCCCCACCTCCCCTTCTTGCATCCCTATTCCAATAATTAACTCAGCAAGTTCTTATCCCCAAATTATCCCTTATTGGCATTTTACTTAAATCATCTTAATTAACCAAATTTAAACCTCTAAACCTCATTTTAACATAACATTTACCCCTTTTTCTAAGGTCGACCCAAGTTCCCTTTCACGAGTTTCCCAATTTTTATAAGTATTACCAAACAACTTATCCAATAAAAACATATAGTTATACCCCTTTGGATTCCAAAATCCCCCCCCCTTCCCTGGTTTTGATCCCCAAAAATTGTCTTTCAGTCTATCAATTCTCAGCCTGGGTCTATCACGTCCGAGGCCCTTAAGTCTCTTTCAGTCCCTCTCAGCCGGTTTTGTTGACAATCCTTCATGTTAAACATCCAGTCTCGGAGCAGCTTTGACCCACTAGGGTCTATATTTTTTCCAACCAGGCCTCCATTTTCGAAGAAAAAGTCCAGATCCTGTTTCTTAATCTTTTCAAATACCAATGTCCCAAAAGTCCCAAATACTTCAATTTTCACCTTTATCGAATTTGTAATCCAAGGGTCTTTCATCAAATTTGTAATCCAAGGGTCTTCCGGACTCCCCATAAGGGAGAGTCCCCACTCTTCATTCTCCATTTCATACCAAGTTTTCTTCATCCAATCCTTACTTTCCTTATATTCCATCCTGACAGGCCTCTGGTTGTCCTTATCCACATGCCACATTTCAGCTCCTCCATTCGACTCCTCTAAAACAAAACAAATTTCTTCTTCTCCAGCTGCAGATTCTTCTTGAATCAAATCCTCAACAATTTCGACAGAATTGTTTACTTTAGAGTTCAAGGTTGTAAGATTTGTAGCCATAACATCACTCAACTCTTGCAATATTCCCAGGAAATGAAACACTCTATCCAACTCTGCCTGTACTTTTCCATCTGCACTTCCAGCTTCAATCATTAGCCTTCAAACTTCACACTTCTCTAAATTATGCAATTCAGTTCTCCAATCCCAAAATATGCACAAAACACATATATATTAGTGAAAATAACACAGAAAATGGGGACATTGCTTGTAAAAATATGTGCATTAGGTAACATTGCATAAAAATGAATATATTAGAAGGAATGCTGGTGAATTTCCGTAAGGACTTTAAGGGGGGGGGGAATATTCTAAAGTGTTGCAAAAAATGAGATTGGAAAAATGAGAAAATGAGGAAAATCCAAAATGGCAGTTGTCCATCGCTAGCTGCAATGTCCCTCTGGAATGTTTTTAAGGTGTGAGAAGCTTCATCTGAGTACTACTCATGTTGCAGTACTTATATTTTCAAAGGATCCACAGATCACACGGACTAATGAGTTGACAAGACTGTTTTTCATTTCCTACCTTGTTTCCTAACATCTCCATCGATGTCTTCGACTAGCCATAACTAGTGAGCAATAGGTTGTTGTTTTTTAAATGGTTGCTCTTTGCCACCATACTAGTCTTCATCTAAAAATAAATTGGAAAGGCAGGGATATATATATATATATATATATATATATATATATGCAGGTTTTGGTGTCCTCGGGTGTCTTCCCGTGTAAAAGTTGGGGTGTCTAGGCGACGTTTCGACGAGGTCTCACTCGTCATCTTCAGGCTGGTGCTTTCGGCTTCTTGTTACTGGAACAGAGCAGGATCTCAGTGTTTGAGTTCCTATAAATACTGTTGAGGGGGTGTGGTGTATAGCCTGGATATATATATATATATATATATATATATATATATATATATATATATATATCACACTGTATATATATATATATATCCTGGGTTTTACCAGAGCTTACATCTTCTATACTTTTGTGTTGATAGTATGAACAATGAAAAATGCAAGTTAGTCTAAGAAATCAACAAACCTGGCTTCAGATACTTCAGATACTGCTTCTTTTCTTCTGTATGACCCTTGGTATCAGATGATACCAAGTTACGAAAAGACAGTATGGATGTCTTTCTCTATTGTTATGAGTTTGTGGGTTCAAGACACCTATAATTTATGGATTTAATAGGTGTTAGAATTTATTTAATGCTTGTAGAATTAAACTGGAAGTCAGACTCTTAGTAGGTGGATTCATCTTCCCTTGTTAGAATATCACCTGACAGATAGGACATTAACAGAGAACAAAGACAAGGAGATGGGCCATCAGCAAAGCAGAGACTCTCTGCGCAAATGGGTGGAGCTCCACCCTGAGCTCTGAGATTGGTAGTCAGTAGACAAGGCTAGAAATTTTGTTAGGAGGAAGTTTTAGGATTTCAGCTTTCTGTGGCATGATCAAGGGGGAAAGGTATCGGTCTGTTGAAAGCAAGTGAGAGAGTGGGGCCAGAGCACAATGTGGACCACCTGCTTTGAATTGGGAGCCTGCAGCAGTGGGAGAGATGGGATTCTCTTGCAGTGTAATGCTTTGAAGCCCTACACTGTAGGCTCAGGTTATATATATGTATAAATAAACCATATAGCATAAAGACATGTAACAGTATATAAGGAGCTAGGAGCTCCATGCATAAATCCCAGCAGAATTCTGGGAGCTGTTCTGTATGTCATAGCTGTTTGACATCTCAAGCATATTAAGAACCCTGGATTAATTTGCCTAAATAATAGTAGCATGGGCCCACAAGTTTAATTTGCCTACAGCTGTGTGTCTTTTCCAGGAAAAGGGTTCTTGTCTTCACAGATTCTGCCATCTTCCTCTCCCATTTTCCAGATGGAAATACCACAGCCTGAAAGTACATCAGTATGGGAAAGAAGAAAAAACCTTGAAATAGAAAATCAAGAACTGGGTATAGACAACAGAAGATTAAAGGCCAAGATGAAGGATCTTCAAGATCTTCTGGACAGAAAAAGTAAATGGCCTGCAATTCATCTGTGTGGAGATCTCAAGATACCATACAGTGAACTGCTGGGGGAAAATAAGGTATGATACTTAGTTACTTAGTTCAAGCATTTCGGCAGGGGGTAGTTTGAGCAGTAGCAAATACTTCTCCCACATTTCATCCTCATCCCTGACTTCCACATTTTAGGTGGGGCTGTCTCATGGGGAAAGTGCCTATACAGAGACCTGCACCCAAGCTAGAAACCTGCACATTCTACAGAGTTCTGCACCTAATGTGTGAATATTTCAGTGGAGCCTAAAAGCTGCATAATTTTGGAGGTGGAGCCAGTGGTGGGACCCCTTTCTACACATGATGCCACCTGACACAATTCATAGCAGAAGGGAGCTTTAATTGAATTTATTATCAGCATTCTTTTCTGCATAAAATATCAATTACCCGGTCATGATTTCTGCATTAAACATGTTATTAATTATATTTATACTTCACACAATAATAGTACAAATAAGCATCAAAGGAATATTATTATAGCTATAAAAAGGCACTTATTTTTCAATGAATATTTGAAGATAATTGCTTTAGCAGTCTGCCAAAAGTCAGGGGGTTTTGCAGTGGGTCAGCCAAACAGAATTTTATAGGATGCATCCACATTGGCTGTTTGTGCATGATCTGCTATGGTTATATGTGATATTCATGATTTCAGACAATAGCTTGCATTGTAAATCACCAGAATATTAATGAAAGCATATCTATAGCAGCCTATAAGACTGCTATATCTGGATGACCGAAACACTATTAAGAAGCAATAGAGTTAGAATGGATCAGGACACTGATCAAATAAAGTCCTCTCGTGTGTTTAGAGTTTGTTTTGAATTGCTTCTTTTTGGTAGCCCAGACCAGGACCACATCTTATGGGGGAAAATAAAATAAAACGACAAGATAATGTAGCATGAACAGAAGATCATTTATCTTCATTGGATGTGTTGCCAGTGCTTAATTTGTAAAATGAGCGGTGTCAGTGCTCAACAGTGCCAGATGCTATCACAGGAGCTTTGGGCTGACTGTCAATACAATACTGGGGGGTGGGTGGGGGTTGGGGGGTTTGAATTCTGCATATACATAGAGGCATTTATCCCTCTGGCCAAATGCAAAGGATGACATGCAAGTCTAAGAGTTCGAGGATCCAGTTGTTGTAAGTCAGGCTGGCTTTAAAGGTACACCAGAAAAACAACCCAGCTCTCAACACCCCAAAGTACAAAGACCATGCAATTTACTCATTAGTCGAAGAAGTCTTTAGGTTTCCATTTTCTAGGCAGGCTAAAAGGTAAAGGTAAAGGGATCCCTGACCATTAGGTCCAGTCGTGGCCGACTCTGGGGTTGCGGCGCTCATCTCGCTTTATTGGCCGAGGGAGCCGGCGTACAGCTTCCGGGTCATGTGGCCAACATGACTAAGCCGCTTCTGGTGAACCAGAGCAGCGCACGGAAACGCCGTTTACCTTCCCGCAGGAGCGGTACCTATTTATCTACTTGCATTTTGAGGTGCTTTCGAACTGCTAGGTTGGCAGGAGCAGGGACCGAGCAATGGGAGCCCACCCCGTCGTGGGGATTCGAACCGCCGACCTTCTGATCTGCAAGTCCTAGGCTCTGTGGTTTAACCCACAGCGCCACCCGTGTCTCCACAGCGCCACCCGCAGGCTAGAAACACCAAAGATATAGAGCTGGGATAGGTGAATAGCTAGTGTTGTGCCCTCTAGGTGTTAATGTCTATAACTCCCATTATTCTTAGCCAATAGTTGTGCTACATGGAGCTGATGGAAGTTGAGGTCCAGCAACATTTGAGGGGCAGCACATTGGGTACCCCTGTTGTAGACCTAAGAGAAAGGGAAGGGGGACAGATAAGGAACTAAGTCTAGAGAAAGGGGAAACCAGCCTGAACAGGAGACACCACAGAACAAAAAGGATGTGAGATTTGGAAAAATCCATCCCAAGTTAAAATCAAGAAGCCAAAGGAAATAGTTTGGGGGTAGCATTTACAAGCCAAGCATTTATTTATTTATTAAGTTCTTACTAACTTTGCATTCAGTGGTCTGGAGGAGCAGCAATTATTCTCCATGTGTGTAGTAGTTCCATGCATTATTGCTCACTTGGGCAGCTGCCTCAAGGCCAAACTAAATGAGACACCATTAAAGCAATTAGCTTTTTAAATATGAATGGGAGTTTTCTCCTTTATGCACATAGCAGGTATTGGGGCTTGATCTAGACTGAGAACCAGGGAAAGGATAAAAGGTAAAAGGTCCCTATCCTGTGTCAGGGTCCCAATCCAGATCAGCACCCTTGTGCTTGCTATTTACATTAAAACAACAACACTTGGTAATTGTGTGACTGGTGTCTTATCAAGTTTAAAGTAAAGGTAAAGGGACCCCTGACCATTAGGTCTAGTCGTGGCCAACTCTGGGGTTGCGGTGCTCATCTCGCTTTATTGGTCGAGGGAGCCGGCGTACAGCTTCCGGGTCATGTGGCCAGCATGACTAAGCCGCTTCTGGCAAACCAGAGCAGCACACAGAAACACTGTTTTACCTTCCCGCCGGAGTGGTACCTATTTATCTACTTGCACTTTGACGTGCTTTCGAACTGCTAGGTTGGCAGGAGCAGGGACTGAGCAATGGGAGCTCACCCCGTTGCAGGATTCGAACTGCCGACCTTCTGATCGGCAAGTCCTAGGCTTTGTAGTTTAACCCACAGCACCACCCACGTCCCTTATCAAGTTTAGTCCTCAATTAATACTTTAGCTGGTCCAACCTACATTTTATTTCAAATTCCCACTTGGATGCCAACAATCAAGTGATTGGCAAGAGAATTATTTACAAAGGAAAGGAAAAGAGAGTTCTAAACCAGCTTTTTCAACACCACCGCTTTCTGCACAAGAACCAGCCTATGGACATTGCAGGAGGCTGGACTAGATGATCCTCAGGGTCTCTTCCAACTCTACAATTCTATGAATCTATGATTCCATATCAGAGTTGCTACCTCTGAGATATATACCTCAGATAATAGACTCCCACCCTTAAATAAGTAACTAGTGTGATGGTGCCTCCCTAGCTTTAGCAGTGTTTCTTGTTGTTATTGAAAGAAAAATAGCCAAAGTGTGTAAAGAAAAATAGAGAAGTGTGTAGCCTTCTCTTTCCGATCATGAGCACAATGCCTTGGGGATAAATGTTGAGACAAGATTATATCTGAATTTGGACCAACTGTGTATTTCTCTGTTCCATGGAGAGACTCCAGTTACATGAAACTTTTAGACTATACTAAAAACAAAATACGGGTTTTATTTCACCAGGCTTTTGTGTTGACCCCTTTACTGTGATAGAATAACGCATTATTACTTTTCCACCTTTCCATCTACAGTTTCTATGACTGGTATATATTATATTTCCCTTTAGCCCTACTGCCAAGTTTTTTAGACAGCTGCCTTGATTGCATGAAAGATGTGTATCAAATCTAATCTGCACTGTACTTGAAACTTTTAAAAAACAACCTACAGTTTTTTCAAATATATTATGAATGACTGTAGGAAATGTGGCTTTACTGTATTTTATTAGAGATATAAAACATAGGAATCAAAATGCTTTACGTGGCCTATGCAAGTTTTATATACTTCAACTTTTAACTACTCATATGACAGGCTGAAAGCAGGGAAATATATCATTCACATGGAAATTCATATCTATGTTTTAAAAAACATCTCCCTAAAACTATATTTGCGATCATAGCAGCTCATAGCTTATCTTTAAATACATACATGGGTTACAAGCTTTCCCATGTCAAGAATAGCAAATTGATGACTACCATCATTTGATCTGGATTAAATAGATGGTTGGAAGGTGGTGGGGGGGGGAGAGATTCAGACTAGAAGCATTAGATGTATTTTAATTTCCAGCGATATAGTGAGTTTATCTGGCTAAGTTTCCAATGACCTAACTAATCGGCTTAGAAACTGATACCGTATGCTGTTACAGAGAGAAAAGAAAAAAGGGATGCAGTGGTAGTAGGGGGAAAAACCAAGCAGAGTAAGGAGGTCCATTTGCTTTCAGATACGATGTGGAGCCTATGCAGGTTCATCAGATTCACTGGGTCATCACCCCCATCAGTTATACCTGTTCTCCACCCGCTGCATTCACTTGCAAACACTTCCCAGCTCCCTAAAATGGGACAATTTCATTTAGCCTAATGTATAGCATGAGATCATCCATTCTTAGCCAGCAGGCCTGTCCATAGTGAGGAATTAACTCTTTATTGTCAAAAGTACACTTACAAATTAGGAAAGGGCATGTCTATCAATCCCAGGTCTCTTAGTTACTCCTAGGTGTGCACCCAATGCAGCAACAGCGAGGCCCCGCCTCCAGCCTCTGCTTATGTATCTCCGCCACCTGGGCTGCATGCAAGCAGGGAATAACTCTGCCTGCATGAAGGGCCATCTTTACTGGGGGGGGGGAGAGGATTCTGTACATTCTTGGTACGGAGGAGACTGCGACCCACATCCAGTGGAGCTGTGGGCATGCGTTAGCAGAGTTCCGCAAGAAGAGAGACTGTGTAGGTATGCAGCATCAAGAATTTTTCTTTATTTACAGCAAATCAAAACAAAAAAACATGGCTAGTGTGAACAGCGTCTCACACATGCATCTTCTCTGTTCGAGAGCAGGGAACAAATAGCAGAAGAACAAAAGCACAAAGAACGGAAGTTCTCTAGTCTGAGTTTCCGTTCCCACACTTTCAGCAGTATGGAATGTAAATAAGGATCACATGATCCAGCAATGAGAGAATGAATTAGTACTGACATCCTCCCCCATTTCATGACATCATTGCTGCAGACTTTAGCAGAGTTGCAGCTTATTTACAAATACACTCAGTTGTTCTTTGTTAACAACTTTTGACAACAAATCAGCAGGAATTTCCTTTCCTGGCATATAGGACACATTTATGAGCTCCCTGTGCATACAATCCCTTGCATGGCATAACTTGATCTGCAAGTATTTGGTTCTTTGCTTACACCCTTCAGAATTAAGCAAAGCTAAGTACGATTATC